AAGAAAACTTATTCACTTGTGTGCACATCATGTGTGTTGGTGAACACTGACATTTGTGCACATTTATGTGTCTTCCTTTATTCTGGAGAGGTCATTCTTCTAGTTTGTTTCTCCATTGCTGTGACAAAACTCTCTGACAAATACCAACTTGGGGAATTAAGGGTTTATCTGGCTTACATCTCCCAGGTCACGGTTCATCTGGGAGCCCGAGGTAGGTGCTCAGGGCAGGAACCTGGAGGCAGGAGCTGGAGCGCAGGCATGGAAGAACACTGCTTACTGGCTTGCTCCCCTGGCTCTGGCTCAACCTGCTTTCTTATACAACACAGGCCCACCTGCCCAGGGGTGGGACCACCCACAGTGGGCTGGGCCCTCCCATATCACTCAACAATCAAGAAGATGCCCCACAAACATGGCCACAGGCCAGTCCAATGGAGGCAATTCCCCAATTGAGGCTCACTCAACCCAGATGTGTCAAGTTGACACTAAAGCTATCCAGCACAGTCATACATGTCCTAACCCCATGCAATCACATGAAACGTGAGAGCAGCCATGTTAATAAATCCAGACATATATCCTACTTCATTCTTCCTGGCTCTAATAACAAGCACATTAAGATCTTGAAACTTAGAGACAGAACAAAAATGAGTCGGTACATTGTAATAAAAAAGAACTATTAGAAGCTGGGCATGGTGGCACATGTCTTTAATCCCAGCACTCTAGAGACAGGGGCAGGTGGATCTCTGTGAGCTCAAGGCCAGCCTGACTTACAGTTCCAGGCCAGTCAGGGCCACACAGTGAGACTCTGTCTCAAAAAAGGCTATTAAATTCTTGAATTATAGAAAGGCATTTTCCTCTTGAGTAAAACAGAATGAAACCAGAAAGCGAAAGAAAAAAAACCCCAGATAAGATAGAATGGTATTTTCCAAGTCTTTATTTCTAATTGTTTTTAACTAGTTTTAATCCAAAAGTATCTAAAATTATGCACCCCAATATCTTCTCAATGGATTGTTAGGTTTCTCATTTGAGTTATCTTCACTTGGTTTCTGTTGATTGCAACCAAGAAAATTTAGACTAACAGGCATTAAGTTTGCAAGAGATCTTTCTGGTTAGTAAATTCTGTTGCCATGAAGTATGAATTGCTAAAAATTAATCATTAAACAGAATAAGATACCCAGAACAACATTTGGTTTTCAAATATGATCCTGAAAGTTAAAAGCAGTAGTGATAATTCAAGGAACAATATCTTGGGACAGACTAATGAGTGACGCAATCCCTTCAAGAAATTATTCTCAGAAATATCTTAAACTTTCTTTTTTTGTTTTTGTTTTTTGTTTGTTTTTTTAAAATAGGGTCTCCCCAGAGTTCCTGCTGGCCCAAAACTGACTATGTAGACCAGGTTGGCATTGTTCTCATAAAGATCCACTTCCCTTTGCCTCCGGAGTGCTGGGATTAAAGGTATGCACTACCAAGGTAGGCGTTAACATTCTTTCTTAAGTCTATCAAAAAGAGGGATCCACAGACAGGCCGTATTTTAATTTTTATTGATTAAGAACAACAGTTCTTAATCAAATTGAGACCCTCTCCCCCATTCATGTCCCATATCCCCCCATGGAACCTCATGCATTCTGCTATACATGTTAAGTCCTATCCAGTCAAGTATTTGTACCCAGATGGCCTTCGGTGCAAGTTCATCCACTGGAATCTAGTCAGCTTATTTAGAGATAGTAAAGAAGGTCTACTCTCCCTCAACCAGTAGTAATCAGTTTCATATTTTAAATATTATCAGTTGAAATTTCCAGTCAAAAAGAGACAGAACTTGGCCAAAGGATTTCATATGAAATCATCTGAATATGACTATATGAATCATATGAATATATGTTTTTTGAGACAGGTCTCATACTGTAAGCCCAGCTGGCCTGGAACTTGCTATGTAGACCATCCTAGGCTGGCCTCAGTCTCACAGTGATCTGCCTCTCTCTGCCTCCTGGGTGCTGGGATTAAAGGCATACACTACCACACCTGTCTTCATATATCTTTTTTATTTTATGCTAAATTTATTGTCCAAACAGTGTCAGGGTATTTTCAGAACTACCTACTTGGGCATTTCCAATCATTAAATACCCCCAGTTCTTGACTGGTTCATTCACACTTGAGGGTAAATAACATAAAATGGTACTCATGGCATGTGGTAAATTTTTAAAGGAAAGTTCCAGGCTACTGGTTCAGCAATGGAGACAATATTCTGATATTTTTTGTTACATTTCTAGTAGTTTTAATTTCTTCATATAGAATTGAAGTCAGGCCTTTATAACAGAAAAATTTCCATCAACCATTTCCAAAGCAAACCATTCCATGTTAGTTTGCTGTTTGAGGAAAGACACGTTTTCTCCCAAATACATTGGTAATATGAATTAATCCTTCAGTGCAACTGGGCAGTGCTTCTGCCAGTATAATGTCTGCAAACCCTTGTGACTACCATCTAACTCACAGAGATTAGTTTCATTAAACAAAAGATCTTCTATAGTTCTTTCCTGAATAACTCCATCTGTATTCCTGGCTTTGGTGAGGTGGTGAGATCATGTGGTTAGCCCCTCCAAAGAATCTTCTCTATTACTACACTGATACTTTTAAGGCACCAGCAAAAATTTTCCTACTTTACCTGGCTTTCTCTCTGGGGCATGCTTTCATGAAAGTACATCTCCTAATTTTAACATCTTCCAAAATATAAATAGGATGAACATTTCTCCAGTCATAAGGTCCTTGTTATATTTTGATTAACAGTTCTCCCTTACTCTAGGTCCTTTCATATTTTTAATCTCATATTTTAGTCTAAACAAAAAGAAGAAATCAAACTGTACTTTAAACCCTTTTCTTGGACATTTCCTCAGCTAAATATCCAGCTTTCTCGGTTATTTTCCTCTCATAACTGTAGGTTACAATTCAGCTAAGCTCTCTGACATAGCATGAAAATAAAAACATTCTGCCAGGCGTGGTGGCACACGCCTTTATCCCAGCACTTGGGAGGCAAAGGCAGGCAGATATCTGTGAGTTCAAGGCTAGCCTGGTCTACATAATGAGTTCCAGGACAGCTGGGGCTACAGGGAGACCCTGTCTCAAAAAGACCAAAAAAAAAACCCCACTCATTTTCCTCTAGTTTCCAATAACATTTTCTGTATCTGAGCTCCTACTAGTAGTAATTTAGCATCCATATTTCTTTTCACAGTTTTCACATATAAAATGATTTATATGTTATAAATCAACATGTTTCTGCACCAACTTCCTCATTTCCTTTTGAGTCCTCACTAGCAGAGTTGTTAATACTACATTTCTACTATCTGTTCAAGGCAACTTGGGCTTTCTCTGTTGAATGTCTGCACTTTCTTTTATCCTCTGACCACTGCCCAATTCAAAAGCCATGTCTATATTTTCAGGTGTTTTTCACGGCTGCATCTCATTTCAGTTACCAAAACTTGTATCTGTCAGGATTCAATTAGAAAGACAGGCATCAAAAACATATCACAAAGTAGTGACTTGTTCTGTGGGATTTGGTTAGACAAGCCCAAAATCTGTATGGCAGACACAAATGGGCATGTTTGAACAGTGAGGCACAAGCTGCACCTACTGTTCTTAGGCAGAATTTCTTCCTCATCTCAAGGAAGACTCAACTTTGCTTTTAAAGTCTTTCATTGCTGAATCAACCCACACAAATTATCTAGGATATTCTTCGTATTTTACGTTTAGTTGATTAACAACCTTAATTCCACTTGTACTTTGCATGAATGAACAACATTGGAGTCACATTTTTCCAAGTGATTTTTCCAAATCATTCAACCCTTCATCAATGTATCCTTTATCAAACCTTGTTTGGTTAACTAATATTAATTCTATAATGAATTTTATTCCAAATTCCTTATCAATCAGAATAATGTCATCATCCAAAGAAAGTAGATATTGACATGGTATCCAACATCAGGCACTCTAAATCCAGGATGGGAGCTCATTTGAAGATTTCTTTACTATAGTAAGAAATTGCTGCAAGAAATATATTACTTGGTTTTGGAGTCTATTGGCTTTACAGGAACATCTTACAGTCTGGGTATTAGTAACATGGGAAGCAACTCTTATCCGGTAAGGATAAGGAAGAACCCATTAGTCTTTTCTATTTTAATTTAGATGAGAAAGAACAGGTTACATGGATATATTTTCATGAGATGTTTTTTTATAGTGAATGTCTAAAAAGCTCAAAATTACTTTATTGCCAACCCCCCCCCAAAAAAAAACCCAACCATAATTAGGTAACTTTGAAGAAACTGGATATTAATGAAACAAACAGCTTACAAACCAAACAGAAATGCTGTTATTGAAATCATAGTTGTGTAAGTAATAAAACTAAAGACTTTCAATTTAAAAAAAATGAAATATGATTTTAAAAGAAACAATATATTCTTATGTAGTGTCATATAATCAGGGATGTACTTTTATTTTATTTTTTTGAGACACAATCTCAGGCAGCCCAGTCTAGCTTTGAGTTCTCTGTGTAGTTGACGATGACCTTGGACTCATGATCTCTGCCTCCACCTCCAGAATGCTAGAACTACAGAGGAATCAGACCCAGAGCTTCCTACAAAGTAGGCAACCACTCTATATATTGAGTTACATCTGAAGTCTAGAAAATATACTTTTAAATTTAGAACTGTGTTTTTTAGAAGGTGTATACTCTTTTTAGGAAAGAACACTGCAAATACAATAAGGAACATGAGATTCCTGACATTCAATATTTAATAAAAATAGAATAATTGAAAAAATAAGTACACAATAAACAAGCCAATAAACAAACAGTAATACTACCTAAAAATAGAAGGGAAAGAAAAAGCATAACTAAACGTCACTACCAAGTTTGAAAAGAAAATGGAATAGCACAAAGACAGAATTAATACAGCTAATAAAGTTTCACATGCCTAAGAGGTTTAGAAAGGATGCCTCATCCCCTGAATGCCTACCAGAGTTTTGATCCAGAATATTGGGGTAGATAGGCTTCAGGAATTTGAACTCATCTGTCCCACTGTCTCCCGCCAGACACACCTCATACTGGTAGCTGTGGGACAGGGTCCCCGCCCCACTGACGTCCAGCAGATGTCCAGGAAAGCGGCCCTCAGGCACAGAGCCGCCAGGCAGAGAGGCCGGCCTGGTCCTCCTGCACAGCCTGAGGGCCACGAAGAGCAGCAGCGAGAAGAGGAAGAGCGAAGACACCGAGGCCAAGGCGATGACCAGGTAGAGCGTGAGCGCGTCGGGCTGCGCGGGCTGGCGCGCCACTTCGGGCGGCGGCAGGTAGGGCTGCGAGAAGCCATCCACCAGCAGCACGTGCAGCGTGACGCTGGCCGACTGCGGCGGCTCGCCATTGTCCTTGACCAGCAGCAGCAGCCTGTGCCTGGGCGCGTCGCGCTCGCTCAGCAGCCTGGCGGTGCGCACCTCGCCATTGTGCGGCCAGACTCCGAACAGGCCTGGCTCGGTGGCCTTGAGCAGCTGGAACGACAGCCAGGCGTTCTGGCCCGAGTCGCGGTCGACCGCCACCACCTTGGTGAGCAGGTAGCCCGGCTCGGCCGCCCTGGGCAGCAGCTCGGTGCAGGGCGCAGAGGCGTTCTGCAGCGGGTAGAGCACGAAGGGCGCGTTGTCGTTGGCGTCCAGCACCAGCACGCGCACCAGCGCCTGGCTGCTGAGCGCGGGCGAGCCTCGGTCTGCGGCGCCCACGCGGAACTCGAAGGCCTGCAGGGCCTCGTAGTCCAGCGCCCTGAGGGCGAACAGCTGCCCGTTGTCGGCGTTGATGGACACCAGCGAGGCGAGGGCCAGGTGCGGGTCGTGGGGCGGCAGCAGCGAGTAGGTGAGCTGGGCGTTGGCGCCTGAGTCTGAGTCTGTGGCTCTGACTGTGCCTATGTGCAGGGCGGGGCTGTTGTTCTCGGGGACGTACATGGTGTAGGAGGCTTGGCTGAAGGCGGGGGCGTTGTCGTTGACGTCGGAGACCTGCACGGTGATGTTGTGTTGGGTTTTCAGCCTGGGTGTGCCCAGGTCGGTGACTGTGATGGTGATGTTGTACAAAGCTGTGGTCTCTCTGTCCAGTGCTCCTTCTGTCATCAGCTTGTAGAAGTTCCCAAGGGAAGGTTTCAGTATAAACGGAACACTATCCTGGATGGAGCAAACCATCCTTCCATTTTCCCCAGAGTCTCGGTCCCGAATCCGAAACACAGCCACTTCCATCTCAGGAGAATTTTCTGGGATGGGGCTGGTAAGTGATGAAATAGTTAGTTCTGGGTAATTGTCGTTGATATCCACCACCTGAATAGAAACAGAACATTTTCCAGAAAGTCCCCCGCCATCAGATGCTTCAATGTCTAGTTCGTATGATGATACTGTCTCAAAGTCCAGTACCTTAATTAGTCGAACTTCACCTGAAAGAGTGTTTAGCTCAAAGGTTTTGCTTGTCTCTTGAGAAGTATAAAGAAGAGAGTATGATAGCTCTCCGTTTGTCCCGGAATCTAAATCCTTAGCAGAGACCTTAACAACTAGGGAGCTTAAAGGGCTGTTTTCTGGGATTTGCACGTGATAGAGCGCCTGCGCAAACTCAGGGGCGTTGTCATTGACATCCAAGACAAGGACCCGGATCTGAGTGGTGCCGGTTCTGGGCGGAGATCCGCCATCCAGTGCTGTCAGAGTTAATCTGAACTCCCCCTGCTCCTCGCGATCAAGCTCTTGGTCCAGCACCAGCTCTGGGTTTTTCCTGCCATTGCCCCGATTGTGGACAGAAACGCGGAAATGAGAATTGGGACCAATATTATAGTTCTGAATGCTGTTGTTGCCCACATCCAAGTCCTGAGCGTTTTTAAGAGGAAACGCAGTACCCGGAGGGCTGGTCTCTGGGATTCTCAGGGTCATTTCTCTTTCAGGAAACTCAGGAGAATGATCGTTTATATCTCCCACCAGCAACTCAGCTCGAAATAGTTCCAGTGGATTTTTCAGTAGCACTTGGAAATGCATTACACAGGGCTCTGTGTGACCGCACAGCTCCTCCCTGTCCAGTTTCTTATTTAATATTAACTTCCCGGTGTGTAGATCAAGCTGCAAGCGTGGTTCGTTATCCTCGGAGTCCACCTGGGCTCCCCGCGCAGCTAGCTCTCCAACTCCCAGCCCTAGGTCGTTGGCTAGGTCTGCCACAAAAGCGCCGCTCCCGGTTTCCTCCAGCACGAAATAACGACGGGGTTCCCAGCCTGCCTGAGCCATCCCCAGGAAGAAAAAGACCTGCAGGACTTGCCTTTGTTTGCGCGCCCTTCCAGCCTCCATCTTTGTTTTGCACTTGCCTTTACTGGAGCTGGGGACTGCAGTACTTCAGGGGGGCAGTGGGGCTGACTCCGTGGTTGCTTAGTCAGTTAATAACCTTGCTCCAAAGTGTCGGTAAACAGCATTTTCTGGAGACTGGTGTGAGATCTGCTTTAGGTCTTTTCAACTGGAGATCTGACGTAGATTGGGAAATCTAGCATTTGCTGGTTTTAAATTTCTTTCTTTCTTTTTTAAGCCTTAGCCTGCAGCGCCACCATGTGTTGATTTTGCTTCTCAATGAACTGCTACAATAGTTCCATTCTTTATATATTTGGTTGTCAGAAGTTTGGAAATTGATGTAGTGATTAATTTTAATGTAATCTTGCAATTTTAATTATTAAGTAGTTCATTCAAAAAGAATTAATGTTATTAATGTGCCAGATTCTGAAAAATCTTGAGTAAGCAACCCTTAGACATGTTTCCTACCTTCTAGAAATGCTGTGAAGTCTGTGTGGGTTTCTCAGGGGGAAACAGAAATGAAGGCGACGTCGTAGTAATAAGAGGTCATGTAAAATTAGGAGCATATAGTCATGCAATTCCTTAAAATTGTCTCATCACAAAGTAGGATTAATATCTCTGGATTTTCTTTCTAATTTTATGTCTCTCATGTACCAGAACTGTGGTTCCCATTGGCTAAGCTACATCAGTTTATGATATCCTTTCCACATAAACGTCATAGAATTATAATTTTATGGAACTTTTCAATTGGGAAAATACATGTGAAAGCACTTCATTTATTACCCTATTTTTCCTCCCTAACATTTATCACCAAACATAGCACTGATGTACATATTATTTCTTTTGTGGAACCCATAAGTACAACATCATTGTTCAGTTTGCCAGTGTGCACCTGCAACATCTAAAATAGTTCTTGGCATAGAGGAGATGACCAATAAATATTTGTTGAATGGACCACTGGGTAAAATACAAAATTATGATGGACTTTTTTCCTATTGTAGATATATCTTCTTTTGTTGGGATCCCAACACATTCTTAAGCTTGATAAACAGGCAGCATGTTCCCAGGTGGCAGTTTTCTAAACTTGTTTGATAACAATTTGAAATAACACAGAATGATCTAATCTTTTCAGTAAACGGAAAAGTGCTGTCGCCACTCCTAACCAAAGAGTGTCTTTTGGAAACTTTCCCTGAACTTGATATCCTGCCTGTGCCACCTGGAGGCGTATACTAGCACTCCTGGTTTTCAAAATTAGACATTTAAACAAAAGCTTTGCATGTTATTTCCACACCTCTGTAATAGTTGACAAATCTTTTGATTTCAGGTGTTGTATTAACCTGAAATGTACAATGTAAATACCACATTAATAGTAAAATTTAATATGTCAGCCAGACAAGAATATATAAACATATCACTTAAGAAAAAAAGCCTTTACTGAGCTATCTTAGAAGAATTTATTAAAAGAGCACCTACTGGTTCTCAATCCCTCTGTTCCCTAACTCAATAATGAAAGCAGATTTGGTAATGACTGACAGGAAAATCCACAGATTACTTATCCAGAATCTCTTTCCTTTTCATCTCTCAGTGGGTTCACATTTGATACCTTATCTAACAAAAGATGGCATTTTCTTGTAAAGTTTCTAACAGAGAGACTATAATATATTGGGTTTCTAAGTCATTTTAAAAGAAAATTTGAGGATCATATTGCCTCAGCTTGAATTAGCAATGCTCACCAAATGTTCTGAAGTCCTAGAGAGACCTGGGTCACATAAAACAAGCATGGCTACAATATTACATTTATGTTGAAGAGAGAAGTTTTCAGAAAACATGGGTGGGCTAGACAGACATCACAGAAGGGAGTCTAGCTTTTTACAAGGTTGGAGATAATCCAATAGTTTAACAATGTTTACATGTATCATGTACTGTAAGTTCATATGAAGACCATAAAAGCCTTTTAAGTTTCTGGGAAATTGTAATCTTCCACATTTAGTACTAGTATAAAACAAAACCATGCATTTTCAGATATTTTTCCATCTAAATAGCCTAGACAGGAAAGAATAATATCAGTTGGACAGGAGATACACTAATTCATTACATTTGCATCATGTTTGTCTTCAAAGCATCCAGCATTTAGAAAAAGTTTCTGGACAACAATCACACAGAATGATCATGTTGAAAATTTGACAAATTAAACAAAGAACTGTGGCTTATTAGTAATAAGTAATAAGTCCCATTGTCTCCAGTAATTAACTTTTAAAAGAGACTAAGTGTAAGCTGGGTGTGGTGCTGCACGCCTTTAATCTAAGCAACCCAGAGGTTTTAGGTGGATCTCTGTGAGTTCAAGGTCACCTACACAATGAGTTGAGGCCAGTTGGGACTATAGGGAGACCCTGTCTTAAAAAGATAAAAATCAAATACTCAAAACAAAACAACCCCACCCACCCACCTAAACAGAAAGATTAAATGTAAGGATATACTCAAGAAAATCTACCATCTCTAACTAGGAAATGGCAAAACACTAAAATGTCCTTATGAAGATAAAGCAATGAAAAACTAGTGTATTTAGAAAGAACTGGCTTTTATCCTGAGGGATCTGAAGTTAGCTTGCAAATTATATCAAAAACCATTCACAGAAGTGGAATTTCCTTTTACACTAGTCAAAGCCCTCTCACGACTGGTGGCAACAGACTTTAGGAACCTAAAATCTTTTCTTTCTGATACTCATCTGAAGGATGCCTTATCCCCTGATTACTTACCAGAGTTTTGATCCTATCCAAACAACTAGCATGTTATTTTCTTTATAACACTGTATTTGTAATTGCTCTGCATCTAAGTGTCGGGACTCAGACTACTGGAGATAATTGGCTTCAGAAACTTGAATTCCGTGGTATCAGAGTCTCCAGCCAGACACACCTCATACTGGTAGCTGTGGGACAGGGTCCCCGCCCCACTGACGTCCAGCAGATGTCCAGGAAAGCGGCCCTCAGGCACAGAGCCGCCAGGCAGAGAGGCCGGCCTGGTCCTCCTGCACAGCCTGAGGGCCACGAAGAGCAGCAGCGAGAAGAGGAAGAGCGAAGACACCGAGGCCAAGGCGATGACCAGGTAGAGCGTGAGCGCGTCGGGCTGCGCGGGCTGGCGCGCCACTTCGGGCGGCGGCAGGTAGGGCTGCGAGAAGCCATCCACCAGCAGCACGTGCAGCGTGACGCTGGCCGACTGCGGCGGCTCGCCATTGTCCTTGACCAGCAGCAGCAGCCTGTGCCTGGGCGCGTCGCGCTCGCTCAGCAGCCTGGCGGTGCGCACCTCGCCATTGTGCGGCCAGACTCCGAACAGGCCTGGCTCGGTGGCCTTGAGCAGCTGGAACGACAGCCAGGCGTTCTGGCCCGAGTCGCGGTCGACCGCCACCACCTTGGTGAGCAGGTAGCCCGGCTCGGCCGCCCTGGGCAGCAGCTCGGTGCAGGGCGCAGAGGCGTTCTGCAGCGGGTAGAGCACGAAGGGCGCGTTGTCGTTGGCGTCCAGCACCAGCACGCGCACCAGCGCCTGGCTGCTGAGCGCGGGCGAGCCTCGGTCTGCGGCGCCCACGCGGAACTCGAAGGCCTGCAGGGCCTCGTAGTCCAGCGCCCTGAGGGCGAACAGCTGCCCGTTGTCGGCGTTGATGGACACCAGCGAGGCGAGGGCCAGGTGCGGGTCGTGGGGCGGCAGCAGCGAGTAGGTGAGCTGGGCGTTGGCGCCTGAGTCTGAGTCTGTGGCTCTGACTGTGCCTATGTGCAGGGCGGGGCTGTTGTTCTCGGGGACGTACATGGTGTAGGAGGCTTGGCTGAAGGCGGGGGCGTTGTCGTTGACGTCGGAGACCTGCAAGGTTATGTTGTGCTGGGTTTTCAGCCTGGGTGTGCCCAGGTCGGTGACTGTGATGGTGATGTTGTACTCAGCTCTGCTCTCCCTATCCAGGGGGCCCTCTGTCACCAGGGTGTAGAAGTTTTTGAAAGTAGGCTTCAAGAGGAAGGGGAGGTTTTCTTGAATTGAGCAAATCATTCTCCCATTGTCTCCAGAGTCTTGATCCCGTAAACTGAAAACAGCGACCACCACCTCGGACAAAGAGTTTTCTGGTATGGGGCTGGTAAGAGACGTGATGGCTATTTCTGGTGGGTTGTCATTCACATCCATTACTTTAACTATAATGGTTGATTTCCCAGAAAGACTCCCACCATCAATGGCTTGAACATTTATTGTATAAGACTGAGTTACCTCAAAATCTAGGAGTGCTTTCAAATATATGTCACCAGAAATTGGATGGATTTCAAATGTCTTCCATACCTCTCTAGAGACATGAGCAAATGAGTAAGTGATTTCTCCATTTGTTCCCATATCGGAATCTGTAGCAGACACCGTGGTTACCAATGAGTCCACTGGGCTGTTCTCTGGAACTTGAACCTCATACAGTGTTCTTTCAAATTCAGGGGCATTGTCATTCACATCCATGATCACAACTTGAATCAGTGCAGTCCCTGACCTGGGTGGGGACCCACCATCTAAGGCTGTTAGTATTAGACTAATCTTAGGCTCCCTTTCTCTATCCAGAGATCGATCTAGTACTAGCTCTGGGTATTTTCTTCCTTTATCACCTTCTTTTAATTTAAGGTGGAAATAGGGGCTGGGGCTTATTGTATAGTTTTGGACACCATTCATTCCTACATCTGAATCCTGAGCACTATCCATTTGAAATGAAGTTCCTGGAGTAGTACCTTCTGAGATTTTTAAAGATATATCTTTTTCTAGGAACGTGGGAGTATGGTCATTTATATCTCTGACTAGAAGCTCAGCCTGAAAAAATTGCAAAGGATTTTCAAATAACACCTGGAAATGCAATATACAAGGGTCACTGGTATCACAAAGTGCCTCCCGGTCCAGTTGTTCATTCAAGAGCAGGTTGCCAGTCTGCAGGTCTAACCTCAAGTAAGGTTGATAGTCATCAAAGATAACTCTGGCCCCCCGTGCTGCCAGGTCTTCCACACCGGAACCCATATCTTTAATCACATTGGCAATAAAGGAGCCAATATCTGTTTCTTCTGCCACAGAATAGCTCCAGGTCTCAGAAAGAACCAAAGACCCTCCCAGGAAAACAAAGAAAAGCAGCACTTGCCTCATCTGCAGAGCGATTCTCTCTCCTGGCTCCATGATTCCTTAGACAAATCGCTTTCTGCTGAGATGTTTCAGCTCAGTCTCTAGCAGCTCCGAGAGTAGCTCTTCCCATCTGGACCTTTGGGGAGTTATAGACTTGTTCTCCTTTCTGGAGGGGCTTGTTGGTACCCTACCTTTTGCTTCTCTTTGTTTCATCCAGTGCTTTAACTTCTGCCAGTTAAGGGAAACAGGAGCTGCTGCCGCTTTTTAAAATTCTGTATCTTATCCTGCAGCGCCACCATGCGACTCTGTAGATTTTCAGGTTTTAGGCAAAGTCAAGTAAGTTTGAGACAAAATATTAATTTATCTTATGTATTTGTTGATTTTTCTAAAGGATATTTTCTTTTTTATTTCTATATTTCCTTTTCTGAGCTGAAGTTCTTTGTGATGTATGATACTATTAATATTTAATCATTAACACAATAAATTAATATCTGCTATAGCTCTGGTGAATATAAAAATCTTAAGATAGAGTCCTTGCTTAAAATAATTTATGATATTTCTGTGAAGAGAACATGTAAAACAACTAAAGATAGTTAAGTTTACTTCTTCATGTCATTGACTTTACAAAAGTAAGCAGGAAATTCTTTGGAAGTTGGAAATGTAACCTAGAGGTTGCTTTTATGCAAGTTGCTATTATCAAATACTCTTAGAAAAGGAAGGATGAATGTGGTTATGTACTTGAAACTGAACCTAGAACATGCAAGTAGTTATTTGTGGAGAAGGTTGGACGTTTCAGGCTAGGACCATGTGCATAGGGGTACTCCATAGGAGACTCCATAGGAGTGCTTATTAGAAAATAAAGTATGGGTCTCCCTGTAGCCCCAGCTGGCCTAGAACTCACTATGTAGATCAGGCTGGCCTTGAACTCACAGAGATCCTCCTGCCTCTGCCTCTCGAGTTCTGGGGTTAAAGGCGTGGGCCACCATACCTGGCTATTGATTACATAGATCTCTTAACTTTGTTTTCTGATGTTTTCATCAATTCTAGAAATTTTCCAGCTGTTATTTCTTCAAATATTACTCTGGTTCAATTTTTTCTCATTTTTACCTTTGGATATATGTTGAACCTTTTTATTCTATGGTGGTTTTATTTATTTATTGTTATATGTATGTAACTGCACCACATGTGTGCAGTGTCCATGGAGGCCAGAAGAGGGTGTTGGATACCCTGGAGCTGGAGTTATGAACAGTTGTTACTTACTAATGTGAGTGCTTGGAACCAAACCTAGGTTCTCTGCAAGAGCAGCAAGTGCTCTTAGCCACTGAGCCATTTCCCCAGTCCCCTGTTCTAGGTTTTTAATAATCTCCTGGTGTATTTTCATCTTATTAACTTTCTGAGTTGTGTAATATAGTAATTGTAATCTAAAATTTCACTTTACTAAATATTTTGTTGTGCTTTTGTTAAGTTTTTATTCAGTTTTAATTTTGATTAATTTTTTCATTCTGGAAGCTTTATTTTGGCCTCTTTAATCTGTCATTTTTTAAAAATTATTTCATTTTAAATTATTTTGCATATGTATGTGGTAGAGGGTATGTACATGTATGAGTACAGTGCCCCTGGAGCTAGAGTTACAGGCAATTGTGAGCTGCCAGACATGGGTGCCAAGAACCCAATTGCAAGAGTAGTACTCACCCTTAATGGTTTAGCCATTTCTCTGCCTCCCCAAATCTATCATGTTTTATAGGTTTTTTGTTGTTCTTGTTCCCTGTCCATTTTCAATATTAAGTTTTATTCAAATTAACATTGTTAGTATATGATAGGCTGCATGGTAATGATAACTGACATTCTTGCAAATTTATTTTAGTGTTCTTTCTTTTCCTGCTTTCTCACATTGATGGTTTCATTTTTCCTTGTGTGTGCAGCTGCCAAAAATTTGAAGCTAGGAGGTGAATAATTTGATACTTTATGGCACATAAAATTCTTTTATAGAGATCTGCATTTGGTTTTATTAGGCCCTAATATTACTACCTGTCAATGACCACCAGTTAAGTTTAAGGCTAAAAAAGCAAGTTTGAAGCTAAAATTCAACACAAGATTTCAGGTATTTCCAGTTTACTCTTATCTCATATGTGTAGCTTTTATGGACCCATACCTATTAATGGGAGGGTCTCTGTAAACCTCAGTTCATTTGGCTTTGATTTCCATTATATAAAAATTTTATGTATAAGCCAGGGGTGGTGGCACTAGCCTTTAATCCCAGCACTTTGGAAGCAGAGGCAGGTGGATATCTGTGAGATGGAGGCCATCCTCATCTACATGGTGGGTTTCAGGTCAGCTGGTGCTACGGAGAGACCCTATCTCAAAAAGACAAAAAAATTTAGTATATAAACCAGTGACATGGAGGTTCAAATTTCCCAGGCTTCCAAATGACCCCAGGGGAAAGTACAGTCTGTAATTACCTATCTATCTTGGTTTCAGCACTAAATTTGATCTAATAGTGTGCTAATCTTTTTTTTAAAAAAATTGGTGTTTTGAGATGGTCTCACTATGTAGTTTTGGCTGGCCTTGAACTCTCAGAGATCTGCCTGCCTCTGCCTCCTGAGTGCTAAGATTAAAGGCATATGCCACCACTTTGATTACTTTTAAGCCTTTGTTTCCTCTCAAAATTTCCTCTCCTTTTTATCCCATTAATATGCTTGTTTGAAGACAGAGTCTTCAAATATCCCATCTTCCTATTGGCTCTCCTAACTTTCTGGTGATTTGCTGCTTCACAAGAGTTATTTTAATAGTTTAAATATTAATCCTCCTCAATAAAGCCATCACAAGTAGCTTCTTCCCATTATATGCTAGTCTGTGCTAGCCTTAAGTACTGAGGTAATAATTTTTAGCAATTTGTATTTTAATTTTTTGTATGCTAAAAGCCTTGTTTAAACATACAAACCAAAACTAAGGTTACAAAGTTATTTATACTTAAATTTATTTCACAGTTTTACTCAAATATTTCAAATTTATCTCTTGGATTTACAAGGAGATAACTTTTATATGTCAAGATACAGGAATTTTATTACTCTATATAGTGATCGTTACTCCAAAAACATTTGCTAATTCATCAGTCTTTTTTCTCACCCCTTTGTAGTATGACATTTCCTATAGTATGACTTAATTTTCTTATATCAAAGGATCTTATTCTACCCAGTAATCTGGGTGAGTGTTCCTGAATTATTCAACTAAGTATATTTACTTCAAATGTTAATGTCGCTAATATCCACAAAGTAAAGCAGTCCCGTTTTTCTTCTCAAAAATTCTTTTGGCTCAGCCAGGCATGATGGTGCACATCTTTAATTCCAGCCACTTGGGAGGCTGGGAGGCAGAGGCAAGATTTCTGAGTTAAAGGCCGGCCTGGTTTACACAGTGAGTTCCAGGCCAGCTGGGGCTACAGGGAGACCCTGCCTCAAAGAGACCAAAAAATAAAAAATAAAAAACAAATTCGTTTGGCTTTACATACAACTTTCCCCCACATTAATATTAAGCACCATTTTTAGGTTCTCACCTGCTTTCCATGAATTTTATTGAAGTCGCATTGAATTTATAAATTATTCACTTTATAAATAGTTCCCCACCTGCCCTGGAACTCCCTATGTAGACCACCCCAGGCTGGTCTCCAGCTCACAGCTATCTGCTTGTCTCTGCCTCCCAAGTGCCAGGATCAAAGGCTTGTGTCACCATGGCCAATCTTACTTTTAAAATCATATTTAGGTTTTTTTGAGACAGAGTGCTACTTTGTAGCCCAGATTGACCTTGGACTCTCTGTGTAGCACAGGCTAGTTTCCAACCTCCATGTCCCAAGTGCTGGGATTACAAACCTGAACCACCACTCCATGCTTCTCTTTATACTATAGGGCTCAGGCTGGCTTTAAACTCCAGACTACCAAGTGTTGAGATTACAGAAATATGTCACATATCAGGCTCTATGTTTGCTTTAAAAAAAAAAAAAAGATCAAGGTCTCATTGTGTAGCCAGGGCTGGCCTTGAGTTGTTCATCTTCCTGCCTCAGTTGCCTGAGCCCTGGGATTACAGGTCTGTGCCTTCATAGCTGGCTTATATTTATTCTAAATAATGATTAGGAAGGATAAATCTAAGTAATTAAGTCATTTTCTTTAACAGTTTGAAATCTTCATTTCATTTCTTGGGAACTTTTTATCCTGTTCTTTTCTGGTGGAAGGCAGCTTAGGAAGACACTAGGAACTATTTTCTGCTTTTTAGCATTAAATGATACAAAGTGACAAAATTTAAAGAAGTATGGTACATTTAGAGATGCAGTATTTTGAGACTTCTTCAAAAGAGTATCATTTAAAAATTGTTGAGCAGGAAGTGGTGGAAGCAGAGGCAGGCAGATCTCTGTGAGATGGAGGCCAGCCCAGCCTACCTAGCAAGTTCCAGATCAGTTGCTACAGGGAAACAAACCAGTTAAGAAAAAAATACTTAAGAAATCAATAATATGCAATGTGGTCACTTTAACCAAAATGAATTCTTAAAACACTTGCTGGGTGTGGTGGCACACACCTTTAATCCCAGCACTCGGGAGGCAGAGGCAGGCAGACCTCTGTGACTTCAAGGCCAGCATGGTCTACATAATGAGTCCCAGGACAGCTGGGGCTACAGAGAGACTCTGTCTCAAAAAGACCAAAAAAAAACAAAAACAAAAACCAAAAAAACCCACAAAACAAAAAAACCCCAAACCAAAACAAAACAAAAAACACCGTATAAAACAAAGGTCTCTATGGAGGAGTAAAATCTTTTTACCCTTTATGGTAAAATTATTGCATAGAGAATAGTACAAATGATACAATGTGTTTTCTATCCAGCTTCAACGACACTAAAAACTTTTGCTTTGTCTCTTTTGATGGCATATAGCAGTAGCTTACATGATAACATTTGCTTGTTCTTATTCCCTCAACCCCCTCTTTTTCTTTTGTGTTTCTTGGGATCCCCCCACTCCAAGGCCTCTAGCTGGGCTCTAGTACTCTATTAAATAGAATCCAACCTCAAGACATAGGCTCTGAATACTTTAATCAGCATTCCCAAACAATTACTTTGTCTTGCTATTATCACAAAAAACAGCAGATACACTAAGATACACTAAGGTAACACTTTACAAAATAAGGACACCTAAAGTGCAGATTGTGTCTTTGCATCATGATAGCCATGACATAGCTTAGAGTAACTGAGAAAATCAAGAGAAATGAAAACGCATGCAACTGGAGCAAACCATAAAGCCCATTACAGATTTAAAAAATCCACCATTTCTCAAAAGCAGGACAATATTAAAATTCTAAAGGAAATAGCTTTATTGAATGTTAAATCCAAGGCTATTCCTAAAGTTCTCCTTTTCCTGCATATTGGAAGCAGAGTCACGGATTTGAAGATTGGGGATGATGGGCTTCAGGAATTTGAACTCATCTGTCCCACTGTCTCCCGCCAGACACACCTCATACTGGTAGCTGTGGGACAGGGTCCCCGCCCCACTGACGTCCAGCAGATGTCCAGGAAAGCGGCCCTCAGGCACAGAGCCGCCAGGCAGAGAGGCCGGCCTGGTCCTCCTGCACAGCCTGAGGGCCACGAAGAGCAGCAGCGAGAAGAGGAAGAGCGAAGACACCGAGGCCAAGGCGATGACCAGGTAGAGCGTGAGCGCGTCGGGCTGCGCGGGCTGGCGCGCCACTTCGGGCGGCGGCAGGTAGGGCTGCGAGAAGCCATCCACCAGCAGCACGTGCAGCGTGACGCTGGCCGACTGCGGCGGCTCGCCATTGTCCTTGACCAGCAGCAGCAGCCTGTGCCTGGGCGCGTCGCGCTCGCTCAGCAGCCTGGCGGTGCGCACCTCGCCATTGTGCGGCCAGACTCCGAACAGGCCTGGCTCGGTGGCCTTGAGCAGCTGGAACGACAGCCAGGCGTTCTGGCCCGAGTCGCGGTCGACCGCCACCACCTTGGTGAGCAGGTAGCCCGGCTCGGCCGCCCTGGGCAGCAGCTCGGTGCAGGGCGCAGAGGCGTTCTGCAGCGGGTAGAGCACGAAGGGCGCGTTGTCGTTGGCGTCCAGCACCAGCACGCGCACCAGCGCCTGGCTGCTGAGCGCGGGCGAGCCTCGGTCTGCGGCGCCCACGCGGAACTCGAAGGCCTGCAGGGCCTCGTAGTCCAGCGCCCTGAGGGCGAACAGCTGCCCGTTGTCGGCGTTGATGGACACCAGCGAGGCGAGGGCCAGGTGCGGGTCGTGGGGCGGCAGCAGCGAGTAGGTGAGCTGGGCGTTGGCGCCTGAGTCTGAGTCTGTGGCTCTGACTGTGCCTATGTGCAGGGCGGGGCTGTTGTTCTCGGGGACGTACATGGTGTAGGAGGCTTGGCTGAAGGCGGGGGCATTGTCGTTAGTATCAGAGACCAGTACTGTTATATTGACTTCTGTTATCAACCTGGGTGTGCCCAAGTCAGAGAGTGTGATGGTGATGTTGTACTCAGCTCTGCTCTCTCTATCCAAAGCCTTTTCAGAAACTAGGGTAAAAAAGTTCTTGAAGGTGGGTTTCAGGATGAACGGGAGGTCATCTTGAATAGAGCAAATAATTTTTCCGTTGTCCCCCGCATCTTGATCTCGGACACTAAAAAGAGCGACTAGAGTCTCTGGTGCATTCTCTGGAATTGTCTTTGTAGCTGATGATATGATCACTTCCGGTGCATTGTCATTTATATCTAATACTTTAACTAAAAGGGTGCATTTTGCTGAAAGACCTCCACCATCTGTTGCCTGGATATTTACAGAGTAGGACTGTATTAGTTCAAAATCAAGTCGTGATCTCAAATTAACTTCCCCAGATGTTGGGTTGATTTCGAAGGTTTTTCGAATATCTTCTGCTGCATGCAAAAATGAGTAGGCTATTTTCCCATAAATTCCCATATCTACATCCTTAGCAGAGATAGTGATAATACAGGAGCCAATGGGCATATCTTCCAGGACCTGTACCTCATAGAGGCTCTGAGCAAACTCAGGAGCATTATCATTGATGTCTAAGACTTTGATGAGAACCAAAGTTGTCCCAGACCTGGGTGGAGATCCACCATCCAGTGCTGTCAGTGTCAATCTGAGCTCAGATTCTTCCTCATGATCTAATGCTCTATCTAGAACCAATTCTGGATATATCTTTCCATCACCGCTGTCTCGAATTTTAATGTAGAAGTGAGAATTGGGGCTAATGGTGTAGTCCTGGAGACTGTTGCTTCCTACATCCAAATCTTGAGCATTCTCAATTAAGAATGTGGCTCCAATAGTAGTACTTTCCGATATTTTAATAGTTATTTCCTTGTCCAGGAATGTAGGGGGGTGATCATTTATATCACTGACATGCAGCTCAGCTCGGTAAAACTGCAAAGGGTTTTCCAGTACCACCTGAAAAGGCAGCACACAGGATTCAGCAGAACCACACAGCTCTTCCCTGTCCAGTTTCTCATTCAGGAGCAAATCTCCAGTCAGCAAATTAAGGTGCAAATGCTTTTCATTATCATCAGACACTACCCGAGCCTCCCGTGAGGACAGCTCCTTCACCCCCAGTCCCAGATCCCTTGCCACATTAGCTACAAAAGATCCAATTTCTGTTTCCTCCACTACAGAATAGTGCAGAGATTCAGTATTCACCTGAAAGAATCCGAGCAAAACAAAGAAAAGCAAGACTTGCCTTTTCTGCAGAATGAGCACCCTTCTGATTCCCATGGTTGCTTCAGGCAATCTCCTTTGTGGCAAAATTTAAGTTTGGTCTTAATTAGGAAAGACAAAGCCCTGATTTTTATATCGAAAATATCCTTCAGGCCACTCTGTAGGTGAAGCTCCTGTAATGTCGTCCTCTGTAGTGGAGTGGATGCTTTTGTCCTGAATAATGGAGCCCACAGTGCTAGCTATGCACTGTTTTCATCTTATCCTGGAGCGCCACCATGTGTCTCTATGAATTTTTTCATTAAATATTTTTCCTTTGAAAAAAATAATGAATACATCTAGACTAATTGAAAGCAAAGTCCACATACCATGTATTTTTATCACTACACAATCCATTATTTCTAATAGGAAAAGTCTTTTAAAATATAACTATAATATCACTACCATAAGCAACATAGCAAGAATTCTTGGCTATAACTTGGTCATCTGGGTTCTCCCAGTTCTCTACAAAATTTCTTATTGTTGGCCTGTCTAATGTTGGACCAAACTGGTCTACATATTTCCCCATGAAACTGTTAGTGCTCTGAATGTCTGACACAAAACAATCCATTAAAATGCCCCAAGTTGAATAAATATATTTATAAGCTATTTGTTTAGTAGTTACAAAGAAATCTGTCCTCCACCCTTGTAAATATTTGTTGAGGTCAGTCAATTATAATTGGTTTTATATATATACACATACACACACATTCACACACAAATGAATCAGGAAAAAAGGAACGCACCAAATTTACTATTTATGTAAGCCATAGGAGTATTGAACTCCCTGCTTTTATATTTTAAAAAATACATATGTGAGGACATGACTCAAGTAAGATGTGATCTTTGTCTCTATGAAGCCTGTAGACTAGAAAAATCAACAAACTAGTAATTAAGATATAATAATGCATAGGTAAAAAGTAGTATGGAAACACCTAGAAGGGACATGTATCTGTGCACTTGGAATGTTTATAGTATTTAGAAACATGAGTTCTGGATCAAAATGTCAACATTAGAATCCTGTCTACAGACTTGGATGAATTAGGTACTTTTATTTCCCTACCTACCTATAAAATAGGATTATCTTCTGGATCATTTTCATAGGAATCCAATGTGTTGGCATTTATGAAGTAACTGGAAAGAAGTAGCTGAATTTCTGTTAAAATAAAAATTAGAACACGGGGTTGGGAGGTATCTTGTCAGTAGTGTGGGTGCACAGTATGCTCATTGAGACAAGGTTCAATTCCCAGCTCCAAAACAATAAAATTACATAAAGTCAAAATATAACACCAAAATTTCATTTATATTGAATATATACAGAATTTGTATTGAATATATATATACAGGAGAAAAGTATAGGTAGATGCCATCAAAGGTGTAGACTTGGTATAGGAAATTGAGATAATTACACATTGGGTGAGTTCTATTTTCTCAGTAAGGGACTAGGAAAGTTTATCTGCTGAGTAGTTGGGTTGGAGATTTAAAGTAAGATAAGTGAGCTTGAAATCATTGTAGACACTGGAAGAGAAAGGTTATTAGGAAAATTATGAAGGAGTTTCTTGACTTTAAATCTCAAGATAGTTTTTTTTGAGACAGGGTCTCCTTGTAGCCCCAGCTGGTCTGGAATTTGCTATGTAGACCAGGCTGGCTGTGATCTCAGAGATCCACCTGCTTCTGCCTTCTGAATACTAAAATTAAAGTATACCCAGCCCTCAACATAGTTTTTTAAAAGATTTATTTTATTTTTAATTATGTGTATTATGTGTGTCTGTCTATGCATGTGAGTACAGGTGCCCATGGAAGCCAGAAGAGGGATAGGGCATAGGGCATAGGATCCCCTGGAACTGGAGTTATGGGTAGCTGTGAGCTGCTGGATGTGGATACTGGGAAACAAACTCAGATCTTCTGCTCTCTGAGAGCAGCATGCTCTCCTAACCACTGAGCCATTTCTCTAGTCCCCTCAATATAGTTTTAATATAAGTTTATAGTGGCAGTGACATTAATGATTTTGTAAATTTAGTTTTAAGGTGCTACATCCCAGGTATAAAAGGGGAGGAAGGAAGCAAATACTTTTCCATATTATATGGAGCTTCATCAAGCATTAATGAAGGAAAGTTGAATAAGGTAATAGAAGACTCAGGAGCATGAGTGTGAATGTGAGAAACAAACCAGGAAAGCCAGTTGTGTAGAAAGGAAATTTAGAACAGGAGCAGGTGTTGCTATAATGTATCAGTATCATGTAATGGTGTCCTGAAGCAGTCAAAGGGGTTCAAGGGGGACAAGATGTGATTAGGAGGAGCAGCATGAGAATATTTAAAGGCACAGAAGCCTGTGTTCTCAGAAGGAGATGTCAAATATTATTATATCACAAGAAGGAGAGTCCTTGGTGGGTAAGTATAGAATATGGCCTGGGCAGTAAAAACTGGATGAGGTGAAGACCTGGGGTCTGAAAAGCCATGTTTTTAATCAGTGCACTGGCCCAGGAGTGGTGGCAGGACTAGAGGTTTAAAGATAACAATGCATTTGTAAGCAAAAATTCCATAACAACACAAGTCCTTTACTTCCAATACTCTTAAAGACATAAAAAAACAAAAACAAAGCCGGGAGCGGTGGCGCACACCTTTAATCCCAGCACTTGGGAGGCAGAGGCAGGCAAATCTCTGTGAGTTCAAGGCCAGCCTGGTCCACATAGTGAGTTCCAGGACAGCTGGGGCTACAGGGAGACCCTGTCTCAAAAAGACCAACCCCCCCAAAAAAAAACCCAAAACCAAAACCAAAAGCAAACAAACAAAAAACACTGAACATCCCAGAATGGACTTTCTTGAAAACTCATACCAACTAATAGTTTGGTTTGTAGTTGCCTAAGAGTATTAGTTGGTAAAAAGTTTTCAAGAAAATCCATTCTGGGATGTTCAGGTATTTTTTTACATCTCTGTTTCTAAGTATCTGTCCCACATTGGCTATAGGAGTATTTCCTTAATTATAATCTACAGTATTCGTTTATTAGAAAATTGGTCAGTATGGCTTGATTTGCATGTGCTATCAGTGAGATATTTGAAGAATAAAAGAAAAACTTGCTTTTAGCAAAGCATTTTAGAAGATTGGCTGCTTACTTGCATCTGGGCATGGGCGCTCCTGAAGATTGGTTACTCTCTGTTAGAGTGAGGAAATGTAGAGTTCCCTCCATAAATACAGAAGTCTTGATACTCATGTATCTGGGCAAACTTGAAGCAGTGGAGCAAGTACCTGGATTTTGACTCTGCTCTTGTGTCTGTCAGCTTTTTCTGCCTGGACTCTTTGAATTTCTCTCTTTACTTTTATCAAGATCATAGTCTCCTAGAGCCATTACACAATTATTTTAAGCTTTGTTTAAATATAATAGAAGCATCATAGTATATATTCATCCACTTTAAAGTGTACACAGTTCAGTGGTTATTAGTATGTTTTCAGAGTTGTGAAACTATTACCATTGTTTCTAAGTTTTTAAATTTCATTATCCTCATACCGACTGCACTCATTTGCAATTACTCTTCACCCTCGCACTTTCCTCAACCTTAGACAGTGAATAAAATGCTTTCTGTCTTTGTAGATTTCATTATTTTGACTATTTTCCTTAAATTGAATCACAGAATAGTTTTAAAAATAACTGGCTCCTTTAATTTAGTATAACGTTTTTGAGATTTTCCATGTTATAGATTGTATTTCATGTATTTCATTCATTTTATTGATCATTAATAATAGTTTCATTATATGGAAATGTCACGTTTTATTTATCTATTTATCAGTTGATGAACATTTGGATTGTTTCACTTTTTTTAGTATTATGTGTAAAGTTGTTTTGCTTAATTTCTTCTGTATATTTCTGAGTCATAGTATACTCATATATTTAACATTTTGAAGAGCTACTACCAAAATACTTTCCAAAATACTATACCATTTTTCATTCCTACCACCAGGATTCCAATTTCTCCTCATCAACATTTGTTATTGTCTTGTCAGTGTTTTTGATTACAGCATTCTAGTGTGTGTGTGTGTGTGTGTGTGTGTGTGTGTGATGGCCATTTGCAGTGTATACCTTCTGCGGTCTGTGTATCTTGTTTGGCATGTTATAATGCTCTAAGTGGTCTTCCCCAACTAAGTTCAGGAAGATGGGGTAATCTTAATACTTGACTTTGATTTGTTACCATATGAATTTTGTTCTCTATATAAAGGAGCTTTAATTTAAAGAATGTGCTCCTAAAGAACGTGCTCCAAGTTCTACTTAAGTAGGAAATTAGAATTTAACTAGCTTGACTACAACACAGTTGGCTTAGCTTCTCATTTTTCCTTTATGCAGATACCAAGTGGAGATCCCAAAGATCTCCACAATTAAATGGACTTTTAATGAAATACTAGCTTTCAAAATGTGTAAACATTGAGTTGACTTGGACATGTTGGAGGTAGGGGGAGATTTTACTTCCTGGCATTATTTAGCTCCTCTACAGTGTTAAAATTAAAATATCTTCAAGAGAAAGCTTCTGGTATTAACTCTGGCCTGCGGCCTGGAAGCAATCATCACTTACCCCATTTTCCTATGCTTACTTTCTCTCTGTTACACCCCTTTTCTCTCTATGATTACTTCTCTTTTCTATGACTACTCATTTTGTCATCTACATGTTCTGTCTACAACATAGAGACTTCAGACTTTTTAGGGCATTCAAAGGAAACTTCCTTTCCATTCCCCAAGACAAGAACCATTATAGGTGGGTCCCTATCAACACAAAGTAAAACGTCCCAACAAAGGTTTGAATTTCTTTGTTAAGACTAGGAGCTAAACTCTGATCTTTGAAACTTCTCACTGCTACACATATATGGCTGGTTATGAAACTTTTGAATGTTACCCAGTAGTAAACTATGAGATCAGTTTAGTGGCTTGTGACCATACCTAGAAGTTGAAACAATGAACTAAGAGGAAATTTCAAGCTGCATATAAAAAGACTGAGCATTAGGAATAAACCATTTCTTTCTATTATGCTTGAATGTTGCATAATATACACAACATAATTTTACTTAGGAACTAGTACTCAGTATATTTGATTAGTTTCTGGAAGAACACATGCAAAAAATTGTACATATTAGCACACATATTGTTTTGTCCTGCTCAAATTATTACTTGGGTGCCTGTGTACAAGGCATTTGAGGAACTACAGCTTCATATTCTAAGATTATGTAAGCAGCCACAGTATTAACATGCTTTTGGTGGTACACGATGCCTTTAATCCCAGCACTTGGGAGGCAGAGGCAGGCGGATCTCTGTGAGTTCAAGGCCATCCTGGTCTACATAGTGAGTTCCAGGCCAGCTGGGGCTACAGGGAGACTCTGTCCCTACCCCTCCTGAAACAAAACAAAAAAGTCACCTTTGAAGATGAATAAGGAAGTGTTAAGAAACTTGTCATCTGCCCGGCAATTGATTTTTCTGTGCTGTGATCTACTCGGGTTTACCACTGACCCATCCAAGACCCTCTTTGGGCTCCTTTGCAACAGGATTTTACATTTAATGGTTGAATCACAGTATCTATTTTACAACATATCATATTCCCAATATTAATAAACATTTAAATATATTAACTAAAAATAGAGTAGATTCGAAAATTAACATGTTTGGGAACAGCATCCGTAATAATCAGCCACAAGAAAAACCACAGAGAGTGTGAAAGGAAGACATGGCCTGACCACATTGTGTGTTTTGCCTACATGATTACAGTCCACAGAAGCCAGAAAAGGGTATTGGATCCCTTGGAACTGGAGTTACAGGCACTCATTGGCAGCCATGTGGGTTCTGGGAAATGAATCCAAGTTTTATGCAAGAGCAGCCAGTGCTCTTAACCACTGAGCCATCTCTCCAGCCCCACTTTGTATTATTTAAAGAGGTAAATTATGAGAATAAGAGCCATCCTGCTACAACTACAACTAAAGTTAAGCACTGAACAAAAGGTGGGAAGGTTGTCATAAAATGTAAGCACTAGTATGACTAGAAGAGCATACAACTTCAGGGAAATAGACATTGGCTTGGAACAGCCACAAAAAGAAATACATGCGAAATGAAATATCAATTATGGTCACTAAATAACCCCAAACTATTGTGGAAAGTGCCGGTTTCCTCTATTTCTTTCTCAGGACACTGTGGTTGGGGATTGGGGAAAACTGGCTTCAGGAATTTGAACTCCCCAGCCCCAGAGTCTCCAGCCAGACACACCTCATATTGGTAGCTGTGGGACAGGGTCCCCGCCCCCCTGACGTCCAGCAGATGTCCAGGAAAGCGGCCCTCAGGCACAGAGCCGCCAGGCAGAGAGGCCGGCCTGGTCCTCCTGCACAGCCTGAGGGCCACGAAGAGCAGCAGCGAGAAGAGGAAGAGCGAAGACACCGAGGCCAAGGCGATGACCAGGTAGAGCGTGAGCGCGTCGGGCTGCGCGGGCTGGCGCGCCACTTCGGGCGGCGGCAGGTAGGGCTGCGAGAAGCCATCCACCAGCAGCACGTGCAGCGTGACGCTGGCCGACTGCGGCGGCTCGCCATTGTCCTTGACCAGCAGCAGCAGCCTGTGCCTGGGCGCGTCGCGCTCGCTCAGCAGCCTGGCGGTGCGCACCTCGCCATTGTGCGGCCAGACTCCGAACAGGCCTGGCTCGGTGGCCTTGAGCAGCTGGAACGACAGCCAGGCGTTCTGGCCCGAGTCGCGGTCGACCGCCACCACCTTGGTGAGCAGGTAGCCCGGCTCGGCCGCCCTGGGCAGCAGCTCGGTGCAGGGCGCAGAGGCGTTCTGCAGCGGGTAGAGCACGAAGGGCGCGTTGTCGTTGGCGTCCAGCACCAGCACGCGCACCAGCGCCTGGCTGCTGAGCGCGGGCGAGCCTCGGTCTGCGGCGCCCACGCGGAACTCGAAGGCCTGCAGGGCCTCGTAGTCCAGCGCCCTGAGGGCGAACAGCTGCCCGTTGTCGGCGTTGATGGACACCAGCGAGGCGAGGGCCAGGTGCGGGTCGTGGGGCGGCAGCAGCGAGTAGGTGAGCTGGGCGTTGGCGCCTGAGTCTGAGTCTGTGGCTCTGACTGTGCCTATGTGCAGGGCGGGGCTGTTGTTCTCGGGGATGTACATGGTGTAGGAGGCTTGGCTGAAGGCGGGGGCGTTGTCGTTGACGTCGGAGACCTCCACAGTGATGTTGTGTTGGGTTTTCAGCCTGGGTGTGCCCAGGTCGGTGACTGTGATGGTGATATTGTACTTAGATGTGCTCTCTCTGTCCAGTGGGTGCTGTGTTTCTAAGGTGTAATAATTCTGAACTGAGGATTTTAGCATAAATGGGAGGTCTTCCAGAACAGAACAGATCATCCTGCCATTGTCCCCAGAGTCTCTGTCTCGGATACTAAAAATCATAACTACAGTCTCAAGGGAGTTTTCTGGGATTGGATTGATAATTGATGACACAATAATTTCAGGAGAATTGTCATTTATATCCATCACCTGAATTCTTACAGTAGATTTCCCAAAAAGTCCTCCCCCATCGGTGGCTTTAATAATTATTGAGTAAGATTCAATTGTTTCAAAGTCCAAATGTCCTTTTAAACTGATTTCTCCAGATATTTTATTGATGTCAAATGTTTTTTGAATGTCTTCAGATGCGTGGGAAAAGCTGTAGGATATTTCACCATTGATTCCAGAGTCTAAATCACATGCAGATAAAGTGATAATCAGCGAACCCAGGATGCTGTTCTCAGGAATCTTCACTTCATAGAACATAAGCTCAAATTCAGGGGAGTTATCATTAGTATCTACAACCACCACACGAACCAAGGCAGTCCCAGACCTGGGTGGGGAGCCACCATCCAAAGCAGTGAGGATAAAACTGAGCTCAGGCTGCTCCTCATAATCCAGTGCCTTGTCCATAACTAACTCTGGGTACTGCTTGCCATCTGGATTAACTCTCATTTTAATGTGGAAATGAGAGTTCTGGCTTATTGTGTAGCTTTTTACAGCATTGATTCCTACATCTAAATCCACTGCACTTTCTAGTAAGAACACAGCGCCAACAAGACTGTTCTCTGGAATTTCTAGGACCATTTCTTTTTCCCAGAAGATAGGTGAGTGGTCATTTGTATCCATAATATGAAGCTCAATTTGCAAAAACTGCAAGGGGTTTTTCATTAACACCTGGAAATGCAGCACACAGGGCTCAGTGGAGCCACAGAGCTCTTCCCGGTCTAGCGGTTCACTTAAGAGCAAATCCCCAGTATGTATATTCAGTTGCAAAGGCTGTTTGTTATTATTAGAGACGATTTGAGCCTCCCGTGAAGACAGCTCACCTACCTCCAGACCCAGTTTCTTTGCCAGATTGCCTACCATGGCCCCACTCAGCGTTTCCTCCATAATGGAAAAGCTCCCAGGCTCCGAGTGGGCTGGAGAAATTCCCAGCAAAACAAAGAGAAGCAGGACTTGCCTTGTCTGCAGATCGCCTTCGCCTTGGTTCTCCATCACTCCTCTCCAGCAGGCTTCCCACAGAACCGCATCAGCTCTACTATGCAGTTCTGTAAAATGTGCTGCTTGATCTGTCCACAGACTCCACAAGAGAAATGTTTTCTAGTTTTAAACAACCTTTATGGGTTGTTCATTCTTCCCAGTTTTCTGTGTGCACTGTAATATTATCCTGCAGCGCCACCATGCGTCTTCACAGATTTCACAGTTTGATGGATGCCGCCTAAACTCCATTCACAGTCTATGTCCTCCAGAAAAAACTATTTGTTGTCAAGCAGTAACAAATATACTTTTTCATAACTTTTCCTTATACTTCATGATGATGTTAGCATTTGTTTTAAAGCACTTGTTAAGTATCCCTCTCATCTTTCCACATATCCATATAAAAACACAAGATGTGATCCTTGGTCATCGGATTTGTAATGTTTCTGAGTTTATAATAAAATTTAAGCAGGAATATAACAGATTGCCAGATTTAACACATTCCATCACTACTTGGCCTTGCTTAGGTGGGACGGGAAAGAGTCATCCATGGATATGGATGGAACTTTATTCAGAAGTTCCCTCAGGGCTATGGAACTAGATTAACCATGATACATATGTAAATGTATAATTTGCTTCCAGTTTCTTACAAAAGTGACAAAAATATTCAGTGAATACATAAATACAAACATGTTTGCTTCACTTAAGGTATACACTTACAGCTGACACCCCTCATCTTCTACCACCACCAACAGTCCAGGGAGAAAACTAAGATTTTCTTTCCAAAACAGAACAAAAACTTTTTACTCTGATGATACCAGGTAATATCATGTTTCTGCTAGTGAAGGAATGGTTATACATGTATAGTATTATAGGTGTAGCATTAGTCCCAGAGACTGAGGACATGTCCTTTGCTTGTTTAACCCTGTCTAGTTTCATCTCTTAACTTTAGTGTTATTTTATTCCTAACAGAAGTACACGTTTGCTACATAATGAAGGACACTGTTTGGAATAGGAGCTAGGAGCTCATCAACTAGCATCTATCAGAAGTCTCAAAGGTACCCTAATAATGGAAGAAAGAAGAATTAAAAAACTTGGCAGTGGAAAAAAATCCTAAGTTCCAAATTGCATTCGTAAAAATGTAAGCTCTATACATGACTGAAAAAAAAAAATCAACCAGCCCAAAAGGGTAGAATCTGGAATGTAGGTGAGCTGCCTATAGAAAGTTATATTTCCACTTTTAAAGTGCCTTAAGCTAACAGAAGACTGGTAATAGAACTCACAAAGAATTAAATCGCATAAACTGCAGTTCTAAAAAATAGTTAAACATCCACCACTAAAGCTGTAATTGCCCCATAGAATCTTATTTGCATCCAGATTTGAGGAAACAGAAGACTGGAGTTAATTATGAACTAAACAAGTTACTAGTTGAAAATCTATGTATAGTAGGGCTAAATTCACTATTCTCACTACTATCTCCAGGGACAGGAAAGCAACTCACAGCTAGAGAATGGATACTTTATTTTCTGGAGCAATTAACAGATTTTCTCTACTCTTTGAACTTGGGTGATGCTAAATACAAATGTATAGTATGAAATTAAACAAAGGATTTAAAATTTGAATAGTGAGGATTCTGGTCTCTTCCCAAGCAACATTCTTAGATTATTGAACACAAGTTATATTCCTGATGCCTAATCTCACACAGTAAGTATTCTAGAATTCTAAGCTGGAAAATATGAAAGTCCAAATAAAGTTGAACACATACTGGTGTTATGGGTTTGCCTAGATGATAGCCCTGTCCTAGTATGGTAGCATCAGAATGAAGTCTGTGATCATCAGCACTTGTTCAGACACAAAGGGTTGATTTTATTTTAATATATAATTCTCCTTAACTATGAGAACACAGTCAAAGACCACAGGATATCTGAGGGAATGCCTATTATATGAAATGTAAAGGCCAAATCCAACACTACAGGCCAGGCAAGGAAGATGTCTCAGTTGGGGGCGGGGGAAGCACTTGCTTTGCAAGCCTGATAGATCTGAGATTGCTCCCCAGAACCTATATAAAAAGCCAGATGCAGTGGTGCGTATCTGTAATCCCAGCATAGACAGGAAGTGCAGACAAGATAATCAGCAAACTTACACACACACATACACACACATGCACACAAATTTAAAACATCAACAGTACAGTCACAAAACAGAAATCTCTGGAAATGTTTGATTAAAATCTCCAGAAAAATAAAACCCCAAAAGAATTAAATGTTTATTTAGTTACTCATGTCTCCCATTAGTCTCAGTGGTTCATATCTATTTTCCCATTTCATGTTAATAGCATCTGTAGGGAGTACACATTCTTGTTATAATAATGGATGAGATATGGGCATATGCCTGTAGTCTGAACAACTCAAGAGGCAGAGGCAGGATGATTGTAAGTTTGAGGTCGGTTTGAACTACATAGTTGAGACCCTGTCTTAAAAAGCAAACAGTAAGAAAAAAGGACAAGATTAGGGGATTCAAATGCCCCTTACTAGCTATATAACTTTGGCCAAGTTTTTTTAACTTCCCTGATGTTTATTTTTTAATTAATATAGAATACAAATAATACTGCAAAGTTACTTTTCCATAATATATTCTAAGAGAATAAGTAGCTTAGTTACAGATAAGATATTATGTTTCTAAATCGGTGGCAGAATACTGTTAAAAAAACACATAGAACCAAAAATAGCTTTAAAAAATAAATCAGGGAAAAGGAAAAATTACATATAAAGATCGAATAGTTAAAAAGATGTGCAAGAAAGTAGAAGAGGCAAATAGAAAATAAGATAGGAAAATAAGAATAGAGTCTTACAGAATCAATCCAGTTGGTCAATATTTAATCACTATTAGGAAGCCTAGGAGAGAAATTAAAGTAAAATAAAAAAAGGAAGTTGAACTAAAAGTGACATTCTAAACATTAATAGAATGCACCCATGTGAAAAGATGAATAAAGAAGTAACTGCTACTGTGGTATTTTCAGAATATCAGGGCAAAATTTTCAAATGCTTCCAAATGAAGGTGAAAAAAAGCTTTGTAGAAAAGGAGATAGGATTTAGAATGGAATCAGTCTTCTAAGTAGTAAGTCTATTCAATTAACAAAAGGAACAGTGCTTTTTAAATCTGAGGGAAAACTTTTCAAATTAGACTTTTATACCCAGTCAAACTATCAATCAAATTAAAAGATTACTTCACAATGCAAAGTATCAAAAAAAATTTTAAAACCACTACAGCATCTATTTTAAAGAAATTGCATCTCAACCAAATAAGAAAATAAACTAAGAAAGTATATATTAGGTCTCATAAAAGGTAGCTGGTGCTTTGGCTGGAGAGATGGCTCAGGGGTTGAGAGCACTGATTGCTCTTACAGAGGACCTGAGTTCAGTTCCCAGCACCCACATGGTGGTTAACTACAATCTGTAACCCCGCTATATGTAACGCACATGGTGCACTTACATACGTGCAGGCAAAACACTCATACACATAAAATAAAAATACTTTTAAAAAGATAGCCAACGCAGGGAAATGTTAAAAGCATGACAGCTTCTAGAGTAAACAGTGTAAACGAAGAAGAGTAGGAATAAAAGATCCCTAGGAAATACATATAATTGGTATCTGGCATAGTTGAATATTTGAAGGAAAAATTAATGACAAAGATGATGTGAAAAAGCAGCAATAACTGAGGATACAATTCATGGTAACCCACTACTTTGGAAGCATTGAAAGAAAAAGGCAGAAAACAGCAATTATCAGCTTTGGTAAAGAAAGAAATTAATCATACTGCCCTAGTGTGTATGTAGAAGAAACTTACTCATGTGGAGTGGACGTTGATGATAGCTTAACTTCAGGGCTGGCATTGTAGCTCAGTGGAAGAGCCCTTACCTGGCATGCTGGAAGCTCTGTATTTTGATCTTTAGCACTCCACAGAAACAGAACTGACAGAAAGATCCCTGACAGTTCTACTAAGTGAGGAATGTGCACTGTTTGTATGTGTGTCAGTTAACGGGAAATTTAAATCCTTTTTCAAAAAATGAGTAACACATAAAACTGAACATTAAAATAAAGCAATCAACATATCATCTGGAAGTAGATGAGTTATGAAGAACAACTGTGTAGAAAGGAACTGAAGATAAAATTATTTTCTTTATAATCTTTAATTCATCTTTACTTTTAAGGTTGACAATTAAAATTTCAGTATAAAATGATAAATGCATCTTTCCAAGAGTCCACCAATATTGTTATGCAAAATTTAAATGTGTTCAAATTTATGTTGATTTTTATGCAGGTTATTACATTGTATTTGCATTATAGGACATCATCTGTCCTATATGTCACAACTTTGACCAAAGGAGCTCTAAAGGGAGATGGGAAATAGAAGGCAATGAAATAGATATGATGGGAGGGCTGAATGGGGGACTAGCTGGGAAAGGGAGCCAGGAGAACAGAGGGGTTAGGAATGAGTGAGAACCAAGTATAAAGACGTACATGCAAATGCCATACTGAAACCCATCAGTTGGTATGCTTTTAACTTATAAAAATGTCATGGATGGGTGAGGGGGGTTTGCAGGGAGGAAGGGAGTTAATAGGGGTAGAGAGAGATTAAAGATGGCTTAGAATAAACAGAATGGACATTACATATGTATGAAATTTTCAAAGAACAAAATCAATAAAAGTTAACACAATTTTTAAAAAGTGTCAGGGATATAGCTCAGTAGTAGAGCACTAGCTTAGCATGCAAAAGACCCGGAGTTTGGTACTCAGCAACAAGAAGAAAACAAACCAAATCAGCAACAAACATCAAAAAAAGAAAAAACCCTCAGTTCTAAAATGAGAAATGGCAACAAATTATTCTGTACTTTGAAAGAATTAAAACCTTAAAAGCATTAAGTGGGTACTTAGTCAACTGAAACCAACCATTAATGTAAAAACATTGAGATAATAACATTGTAAAAATATAGATGTGAAGTCCTTGAAATTTGAAAATGCAATTAGTTGTATTTCATAATAATTACTACACGACTAAACGAATATATGTGTAATACTTTAAACTGCATGAAATGTTACTCAATGTTAAATAAAAGTACCTCAGAACGTGGCTTTTCTTCACTACTGCTCTCAGAACCACGTGCATGAATATCAGGGTAAATCGGTTTCAAGAACTTGAACTCCCCAGCCCCAGAGTCTCCCGCCAGACACACCTCATACTGGTAGCTATGGGACAGGGTCCCAGCACCACTGACATCCAGCAGCTGTCCCAGAAAGCGGCCCTCAGGCACAGAGCCGCCAGGCAGAGAGGCCGGCCTGGTCCTCCTGCACAGCCTGAGGGCCACGAAGAGCAGCAGCGAGAAGAGGAAGAGCGAAGACACCGAGGCCAAGGCGATGACCAGGTAGAGCGTGAGCGCGTCGGGCTGCGCGGGCTGGCGCGCCACTTCGGGCGGCGGCAGGTAGGGCTGCGAGAAGCCATCCACCAGCAGCACGTGCAGCGTGACGCTGGCCGACTGCGGCGGCTCGCCATTGTCCTTGACCAGCAGCAGCAGCCTGTGCCTGGGCGCGTCGCGCTCGCTCAGCAGCCTGGCGGTGCGCACCTCGCCATTGTGCGGCCAGACTCCGAACAGGCCTGGCTCGGTGGCCTTGAGCAGCTGGAACGACAGCCAGGCGTTCTGGCCCGAGTCGCGGTCGACCGCCACCACCTTGGTGAGCAGGTAGCCCGGCTCGGCCGCCCTGGGCAGCAGCTCGGTGCAGGGCGCAGAGGCGTTCTGCAGCGGGTAGAGCACGAAGGGCGCGTTGTCGTTGGCGTCCAGCACCAGCACGCGCACCAGCGCCTGGCTGCTGAGCGCGGGCGAGCCTCGGTCTGCGGCGCCCACGCGGAACTCGAAGGCCTGCAGGGCCTCGTAGTCCAGCGCCCTGAGGGCGAACAGCTGCCCGTTGTCGGCGTTGATGGACACCAGCGAGGCGAGGGCCAGGTGCGGGTCGTGGGGCGGCAGCAGCGAGTAGGTGAGCTGGGCGTTGGCGCCTGAGTCTGAGTCTGTGGCTCTGACTGTGCCTATGTGCAGGGCGGGGCTGTTGTTCTCGGGGACGTACATGGTGTAGGAGGCTTGGCTGAAGGCGGGGGCGTTGTCGTTGACGTCGGAGACCTGCAAGGTTATGTTGTGCTGGGTTTTCAGCCTGGGTGTGCCCAGGTCGGTGACTGTGATGGTGATTTTGTATTCGGCTCTTTCTTCTCTGTCTAGTGCTTTCTCTGTTACCAAAGTGTAAAAGTTCTTTCCTGAAGGTTTTAGAAGAAAGGGGAGGTCTTCCTGGATGGAGCAGATCATCTTTCCGTTGTTCCCTGAATCTGGATCTGTTACACTGAAAACAGCGACTACCATATCTGGGGAGTTTTCTGGCACTGGGCTGGTGAGAGCAGATAGCATCACTTTTGGGGGATTATCATTCACATCCATCACCTGCAGGAGGAGAGTGCATTTTCCTGAAAGACCTCCCCCGTCCGTGGCCTTGATGTCCACTTCATAAGAGGGAATTGTATCAAAATCGACCTGTTTTCTTAGCCGAATTTCTCCTGTCACAGAATTTACTTCTAACGTTTTGCTAATATCTAGGGAAGGTTGAAAGAGTGTGTAGAATATTTTTCCATTATCTCCGCTGTCTAAGTCACCAGCTGACACAGTGACTACCAAGGAGCCCACAGGGCTGTTCTCGGGAATTTGCACTTTGTACATTGGCTGCTGAAACTCGGGTGCATTATCGTTGGTGTCCACTACTTCGATAAGGACTTGTGCCATCCCAGACCGAGGAGGAGAGCCACCATCCAAAGCTGTCAGGGTTAATCTTAGTTCAGGCTCCTCCTCCCGATCCAGCTCTTTCTCTAGCACCAGCTCAGGGTACTTCCTGCCATCACTGCGATCTCGGGTTACAACCAGGAAATGAGAGTTTGAGCTGATTTTATAGTTCTGGATATCATTGGCCCCTACATCCAAGTCCAGAGCATTATTCAAAGGGAATGCATTTCCTAGAGGACTGTTTTCTGGTATTTTCAGAGTCATTTCTCTTTCAGTGAACACAGGAGAATTGTCATTTATGTCCTTTACTCTCAGTTCAGCTTGAAATACCTCTAGAGGGTTTTCCATTAACACTTGGAAATGCAGTACACAAGGTTCGGTGGAACCACAGAGCGCCTCTCGATCTAGTTTCTCATCTATGAGCAAGTCCCCAGATTGAACCTTGAGCTGCAAAAGCTCTTTGTTTCCCTGAGATGTGATCCTGGCTCTGCGAATGGCTAGCTCCACCAACTCCACCCCCAGATCTTTCCCTAGGTTTGCCACAAAGGAGCCCCTCTCCCTTTCTTCTTCTATGGAATAGGGACCCAGCTCCGTGCCCGCCCCAAACACACTCAGCAAAACAAAGAAAACCAGGACTTGCCTTTGTCTCGGATTTCCCCTCCATCCTGTCTCCATCGCTCTTTCCTCAATGTTTGCTTTGCAGTAGCTTCACGAATGCCCAGGATCCTGGGAGCACCCGCCTCACAGTCCAGAAGGTCAGAACCAAACCATGAAATAGAATATTTAAGGTTCTACACTCGCCTTTGCTCTGGCTGAAGAAAGCACATCCTTTGCTTCCTGCCGGTCAGAGACTGGCTCTGAAGATGGAATTGCAGAGGCAGTTGCTGCGCTCTGTCTTCTTAGCCTGCAGCACCACCACGCGTTCTCACGGAGTCTTACATTTTCTAGATTAACTAGAGGCAAAATTCTCCAAAATATGTGTACTAAACTGTGTATGTGAAAACATTGGGTTGTGTTTTCAAGTTGCTTTCACAACAGCACAAAACTAAAATTATTGTTCATGGTGTTGAATATTTAATGCCACTGAAGTGTTGTTGATTAAATGAAGTAATGTATTTAAGTTTAACCTGAGAATGATATGCACATAGGGATAAAATGCTTCCAAAAATAACATGGGAACAATTTCACATGCACATATTTTCCATCATATTTGCTATAAAGTTACAAGTGAGTAGACATGACAAAAATTTCAGTGAAGTTCTAAAGAGCGTAGTATAACATGCTTTATTCAAGAATGACTTCCTTCTTTCCAGCATCAAAGGCAGAGAAATGTGAGTTTTCACAACTTTTAATTACCAGAAAATTATTTCATAAATAGATCTCAAGGTTGGCCCTGCCACACTTTGGGATTTATTTTTTAATTTTGGCAAAACAATGCCTGTATTATTTTTTAAATGCACAGCTTTGAGATATAACTCACATATCATAAAATCAATCCATTTAAAGTATAAGGTTCAGTGGCTCTTTATATACACAAAATGGTGTACCCATTGTCACAGTAATTTTGAAACATTTTCACTACATCAAAGAAGAACCTAGTATCCTTTATCATCTCATTCTTTCCCCATTTCTCCTACCCAGGCTCTGTTTTAGTCTGCTCTCAGTTGCTGTGATAAAACCACTGACCAAAACCAACTTGAACTGGAAAGGGGACAGCACAGTCCATTATCAAGGGACACCAAGGCAGGAACTCAGGGCAGAAACCTGGAGCACCATGGAGGAATGCTGCTTCTTACTGGCTTGCTCCCTTGGCCTGTGCTTAGCCCGTTTTTTTTTTTTTGTTTGTTTGTTTTGTTTGTTTGTTTGTTTGTTTTGAGCAGAGGACTGGACCAGGGTCTTGCACTAGCTAGGCAAGCACTCTACCACTGAGCTAAATCCCCAACCCCCATCAGCCTGCTTTCTTATACAATACTGGGCCACATGCCCAGGTATGGCGCCACCCACAGTGGGCTGAGCCCTCTTGTATCACTCAACAATCAAGAAAATGTCCCACAGATATGGCTACAGGCCAATCCAATGGAGACAATTCTTCAATTGAGGGTCCCTCTAACCAGGTGTGTCAGATTGAAAACTAAAGCTATCCAGAACAGGCCCCAAGGAATCATCTCTTTTCTGTCTCTATATAGACTTGTATATGAATAGAACAGCAAAACATGTGGACCTCTGTGATTAGCTTCCTTCTCTTAGCATGTTTTCAAGGTTCATCGAAATAATAGCATCCATATTTCATTATTTTTTTTCTTTGGCTGAAGGAGGCTCATGTTCATTTGGGAATTTGGAATGTGTCTACCTTTTTGCTTTTCTGAACAGCACTGCTATGAGTATTCACATACATTTTTTTGTGTTTACATGTTTTCATTTCTCTACAAGTGGAATTACGCATCATATAATAACTATATCCTTACTCATTTGAGGAGCCACCAGACTGTTATCAAAAATGGCTGCAGCATTTTGTATTCCATCAGCAAGTCTATCAGGGTTTCAGTATTTCCACATCCTCCCAACACTTGTTGTCTGACTTTTGGTTGTAGCTATGCTAATGAGTATGAAGTAGTGTCTTCCTATGGATGTTATGTATTTCCCTGATGAGGGATGTTGTACATCTTTTAGTGTGTCTATTGGACATGGGCATAGATCTTAAAATATGTCTATTCTGATTTTCACTTTTTAATAGAATATTTTAATAAGTGAGTTTTAAGAGTGTTTTATTTATTCTAGATAGAAGACTCAGATCATATTTGGATTATTTTGTTTAGGTTTTCTGTTTCTATAATTTGAATTTAATTGCAGTGAGAGTTCATGATGGGCAGGGCAGGGTATTCAGTGGTAGAGCACATGTTTAGTGTGCATGGGGCTCTGAGGTTGAACTCTAGCACTACATATACATTGATACCTTTATCAATTCAGTGTTTTTAGTGGCTTTAGCAGTTCATTGGACTCATCACATCAATGAGGCTTCAACAATGATCTTTATGTACCTTCCTTTGACAAAAGGTAGTATTTATAGAGTAGATAATTCTTCCAAACAGTCAATCTGTGTGTGCTAGACAGTATAATGGCCATGCAAAGATGCTACAGAATCTGTAAGTAGGTCGCTGTACATGGCAAGAAAATCCATTGCAAACCCGATTAAGTTAAAGAGCCTGTGAATGGTAAATTGTCTTGCATTATCTGAGAACATTTATCATATTTGGATAAAAACCTTTATTCAAGGGACCTTTATAAGCTATGATCAGAGGGAGATGTATTAAAGAATGGTTATAGAAACAGTGCTGCTGGTTTTGAGGATGGATAAAGAAGCCATGAGCCAGGTAATGTGGGCAACATCTAAAAGATGAAAAAATCATAAGACTGGGTTCTATAGAGTCACCAGAACACAATGTGTCCCTACTGTTCCCTCATTTTAGCCCAGTAAGATACTTACTGGATTTCTGATTTACAAAACTATGAGATAATACATTTTATTGCTTTAAGCAACTGTTTGTGGCATTTTTTGACAGCAACAGAAAACCAAAACATGACACAAGTATGGATTATTATTCACCCAGTAGCTGAATCAACAAATGTTTTTTAGTTCTACATGAATAGTATTATTGCAAGTGCTAAAGAAGTCATTATTTTAAAATGAAATCATTTATGGTCCACACATTTTCAGCATTACTTAAAAGAAGGCATTGTTTACCATTATTTTGCCAAAGACATAAGGTTAACTGTAACAGGAAATAATTGGAGCCCATCAGTCTTTTCCTACTGAATTTTCAGAACCTCTAAGTTCTTTAGCTATGAAAATTCCTCCAGAATATTGCTTTCACTTTTCTAAAATTAGTTTTCAGTTATACTACTAGAAAGTAAAGTGTACTTGATATGCTAAAATGAATATCACATATTTAATTTTAATAAAGGCTCATTGTATATAAAATACATGGTAGGGTTGACAAGACAATTGAAGGGAAGGTATACAAACTTCAAGAAATGCAACCATAGTGCCATTTAACTATTCAGGGCAACTCATTTCTGCAATAGTGCATGTGACATGGTGAAGACATACAAGAATGCACTCAGGCTGATTCCTTCATCATGAAGAGCAGCTGTCAGGTAAGACCCATTTGACTTCGGTTATTGAATCTGTAAACACTTGGCTTATCTAGAGCAGAGTGGTCACTGGCATAGAAACAAATACAAACTGGAAGCTAAAGGTTACGTTTCCACATGGCCATTTTACTCATGGCATAGGAATACAAACAATAGATGGATTTCTCTCCTTAAGAAAGTAAAACTACCAGTTTACTGCTGCCATTGTAACATGTTGGTTAAGGACTGGGTCATTAGATTCAGGTAACTAGGATTACGTTTCAAAATTTCCTTCTCTTACTCAGAATCATGAGCAAGTTTCTTAAGTTATTTAACTTTTCTAAGCCTCAGGTTTTCATATGTAAAAGGTTTGGGAAATTATTTAAAAGATAATAAATGTAAAGCACTCAGTAATTTTAGTTAAATTAGAAATCAAGAAATAAAAACATCAAAGAACCACTTAGATCACAGTGTACACTTAAAATATCTGTGTATCTTATTTATGTCTCATTTTAATTTAAAATTTTACCATTAAGGAATTAGATTCTGGAGATTGGGAGATTCTGGGGTTTGGGAGATGGCTCAGTTGATACTATCTGCCACACAAACACGGCAATCTGATTTAGTTCTCCAACACTCACATAAAAGCTACCTATCTGTAACTCTAGCATTAGGGGGAAGGAGGATGGAAGCAGGTGGATCCACAGAGCTAGTGCTCTAGCAAGTCTAGCCAATAGTGCAGCAAAGGAAAATACTTGACATCAACTTCTGAACTCCACACACACCAGCACATATATGCAACCACACCTGCATATACACATAAACATAATGCATACAAGAATTAGATTCCACTGAATATAGCATAAAAGCTAAAATAATGGTGACTTACATGACACATAGTGTCTTTTTCTCAAGTAAAAAGTGTTCAGAAGTTGGCAACCCAAGGAATGGTATGATGACTCTTGGATCTGCAAGACCCTGTCTCTGTTAAGTTCCTTCTATTCTGACTATTTCAGTCTACCATTTCTATCATTAAGATCCAATATGGCTATCTGTGCACTCATCAAAACATATACATTTCAGGGAAAACAGAGCAGTTACAGGATGAAAATGGGGCTCTCTTTGCAGGCAAGACATCTTTTAAAAAAGTGTTCTTGTGAGGTTGAGGTGGTATAACAGTGCTGTCCTAGCATGCAGGGGGACTGGGTTTATCCTCAACGAAAAAAAGTCTTAAGGATTTCCCACAACATTTGTACACACATCATATTCCTAGTTATATGATTAGTTCTAATTGCCAAAAGAGGCTATGAAAATGTATTCTTTTAACTAAGTATATTAATGGTCTGAATGAAATTTGCAATCTGACACCAAAGAATAAGAAGAATGAGTGAATGAATGAATGAATGAATATTGACCATTGCACTTTCTTTACAGGTGGTGTTTCTCAAAGGAGAAAAGTCAATTTCACTATTATGTTACTTGATCTTAATAGGTATCAGATATGGGGCAGCTTTGTAGACCCTTCTTAACACCAATGAAACTAGGTGGAAGGCAGTATAAAATATTGATAGTAAATTAAAACCAATATCGCTATGCTAATGAAGATCATACTGCTAGTAGCTAGTAACATTTTAAGAGAAAACAGCATCGAAGAAGATTAGTTCCTTGGAGCCTGACTAAAGCAAGAACCAGCCCCTCTCAGTGTGCCAGTTCTTTCCCTTTCTGATTAGACTTCAGTGTGTTCATGCATTACTGTGTAGTATGTATGAATGGGTTAATGAGTCATAAACAAACATACAAGGAATGAACATCTGATGAGTCTGAATTAATTTTTCATTTTTTAGCTTCATTCCAAAGCTAGTCCAGAACAAAGATTTATACAACTACTGACCTCAAAAAAGTTAGGAAAAATTAGCCCCTTTCAAAATCTTACATTCTGGAGAAAAACTGAGATACCATTTCTAAAAACAAGTGCAGCATAATCTTGCAAACA